CTCAAAAACAAAAACAAAAACAACTCAAATACTTTGACTTGGCTGACTGATTTGGCAAGGTGGAATGGCTTTGCCAATTATATGATGAACATCTTCCATAAGTTGAATGAGGTAAATCGGTTACAAAGTTGTTGTAAAGTATATTTAAGACAAATTTGGTAAGACATATTTGGTCAAAGTAGTTTGACCAAAATATGTTGCTGACAATACTGAATTTGTATTGAAATTAACTGTTTTGATTTATCCAACTCTGAGTACACCTGGTTAAACAAGATGCCTCTGAGTGAAAGAACAGCGGCCACTGCAGAGACCCTCCCCACTGATAGGCAGGAGCCTCTCCTTGCTCTCTCTCTCTTCCAATGTCCATGGGGTCTGTGTGGTGCCCTGGCATTGCCCCATTTCATATCCTACTCTCTTACTTGGGGCTCCTGCTCAGCCTTGCCTAACTTCACAGGACTCGAGAGATTGGTGTTTTTAGACCCTGGAAGGGGAAGAAGGGAGCCCATGGCCCGTCCTCAGGATGGATTGTCTCTAAGACATATTCACATTCTGAAGGTGGCCGAGATTAACTCGCTGACACTCTGGGAGTGTTACTCTTGTTAGGAAGCCATCAGGAAAATAGGAAGCAGAAGGAAAGAGAAAATGAGTCTGAGACACTTTGCAAGGCAAAAGGAAACGGATATAAGAATGAAGGAAAAGAAGTGGGTGTCAAAAGAACCCAGCCAATGCCAGGTGTTGCTGGACATAAGGCACATACCTCTGGCCATGAGGTTCAGATAGGTGGGTGTCCCCATAAATACCTCCCAGGGACAAGATCATATATGTCTGGGAGTCCCTCATGCAGGGTTAAGAGTTGAAACCAAGAGAACCAAAGAGTTCTTTGAGGAAAAGGATGTCGAAGAAAGGAAAGCTGGAGGTTGAATCCTGGGTTTTACCTTGTTACAAGCTGGGAAGAAAGTACAAAGGAGGCAAAGAAAGAAGCTGGAGAGGATGGGATGAAGGAGGAGGAGAAGGAAGAAACAAGGAAGAGCACACATGGGGGCGGGTTAGTCAAAAGACAAGAGGTTCCAAAGGAAAAGGGGTAAGGTGATACTGTCAGAGACAGAAACGCAAATACGAGGCAGCTAGCAAGGAAAGGTTCTTTGCAAAAAAGGAAAATCTAAACAAATGGTAAATTTTAATTTCTCTTGCATAACTGAATCCCTAATGAAACATCTGTGCAAGAATTGCATTTAGGATCATATAATGAACTCCTGGTGCTCACAGGACTGCCTTTAGTTTTAGGGATGCAGCTGAATAGGATACACGTTGCTCTTTCAAGAAACACCACCTGAATGTTCCTTACAAATGGGGAGGGAGAAATAAAAGGAATTTCATTTTCTGTCCTGTGCATACCTATTCATATTATATTGTACTGCCGTGCTCTCTGAGGGAGGAACACCTTTGGGTATGCTGTGAGTTAGGTAAACACCCACTAAATATTGATGCCTGCATAATTAGAATGACTAAAATAATCCTGGCATAAAATTACCCTCGCAGTTAGGAGAGAGACAAAATGAAGTAATTTGATCATGAAAATTAATACAAGTCGACTCTCAGTTTTCAATGCAGCTAATTGGAAACCATTTATTATTCAAACCCCACTTTTGCTCTTGGTTTGTATTCTTTTCTCCTTGCTCTGAGAAAGAGGAAGGTGGGAAGAGTCTCGGGGGGCAAAGTTGTCATATTGGGAAGGTGGGAAGGAGAATTATGCTTATTTCCCAAAGGCAGTGGCTCCTCAGCAATTACCTGTATTGATTTTATCACCCATGACATGTTTTTGTGGGCATGTCCAGGAGGATTGGCCATTCTGTCCTCTCCTACTCAAATGACATTGCAATTGCAACGAGGCAGACATTATTGTAGGTATAATTTTTTAAAATAAGTTTCATTGAGATATAGGATTCACATATCATAAAATTCACGCATGGAAACGGTGATTTACAAATCAGTGGTTGTTAGTGCTCACAGAGTGGTACAGTCATCACCATATTTCATCATTGTAGAGAGAAACCCTATACCTATCAGCACTCACTTCCCACTGCACCCCAAACCTCCCCACTACTGGCAACCACCAATCTGCTCTCTATCTCATGGATCTGTCCATTCTGGATGTTTCATATAAATGGAATCATGAAGTACGTGGCCTTTCGTGACTAGCTTCTGAAATTAACTAATGAAAACATGAGCATGATGTTTTTTATGTTCATCCGCGTTGTAGCATATTCAGTATAGACAGCCCCTGACCGAAGACTTAGGACGGTTCGACTTCTGATTTTTCAACTTTACCATGGTGAGAAAGCAGTGTGCCTTCGGTAGAAACTGCACTTCGAATTTAGAATTTGGAATTTGGACCTTTTCCCCAGGCTAGCCATATTTAGAATGATCCTCTCTCATGATGCTGGGCAGCAGCAGCAAGCCAAAGCTCCAAGTCAACCACACAGATCACAAACAACTGAGCCACTTACAACCATTTTGTACCCACACAAGCATTCTGTTTTTCACCCTCCATATAGTATTTGATAAATTATACAAGATACTCAACACTCTACACAAAATAGGCTTTGCATTAGCTGATTTTGCCCAACTGTAGGATGATGGAAATATTCTGAGCACATTTAAGGTAGGCTAGGCTAACCTATGATATTCCTGTAGGTTAGGTGATTAAATGCATTTTTTACTTATGATATTTTCAACCTACGATGGCTTTATCGGGACATAATCCCACTGTCTGTGGGGAAGGTCTGTACTTGGTTGCTTTTTACAGCTGAATAATACTCTGTTTCTATGGATTATCACATTTTAAAAAAATATTTTATTTATTTATTCATGAGAGACACAGGGAGAGAGAGAAAGAGAGAGGCGGAGACATAGGCAGAGGGAGAAGCAGGCTCCATGCAGGGAGCCTGATGTGGGACTCGATCCCGGGACTCCAGGATCATGCCCTGGGCCGAAGGCAGGCGCCAAACTGCTGAGCCACCCAAGGATCCCCGGATTATCACATTTTATTTATCCATTTGCCCATTGATGGACATTTGGATTGTTTCTTCTTTGGAGCTATTATGAATAATGCAGATGTGAACATTCCTGTACACATTTTGCACATGTAGTCTTGAAGGTGATCTATAATATGAACAGCTCCCATTGCCCAGGAGGGGTCTGTGGGTCCCATCAGTTTAAGACTCCTCTGTCCAGAGTCAGCATTCAAATTCCCACAGCTCTCACTAGCTCTTTTTCTCTCTTCCTTGCTATACCTCCTCTAAGTATAAAGACTAGAAAGGTGGGGAGCCTGGGTGGCTCAGTGGTTGAGCATCTGCCTTCAGCTCAGGGCGTGATCCCAGGGTCCTGGGATGGAGTCCCACTTCGAACTCCCCGCAGGGAGCCTGCTTGTCCCTCTGCCTATGTCTCTGTGTCTCTCATGAATAAATAAAAACTTAAAAAAACAAAACTAGAAAGCTAAGTTATTCATTACTTCATGTTCACTACTATACTGCAGGTAAGACATTAGTTCCGACACCTCCTAGCTGACCTTTACACGTGCTGTTTGGAAACTGCCAGCCCTGGGATCCCTGGGTGGCGCAGCGGTTTGGCGCCTGCCTTTGGCCCAGGGCGTGACCTTGGAGACCCGGGATCGAGTCCCACATTGGGCTCCCGGTGCATGGAGCCTCCTTCTCCCTCTGCCTGTGTTGTGTCTCTGCCCCTCTCTCAATCCCTGTGACTATCATAAGTAAATAAAAATTAAAAAAAAAAAAAAAGAAAACTGCCAGCTCTGAAAGTGTGGCCTCCTAGAGAAATTATCTCGAGGGGCAGGAGGAGGCCTTCAAAATGTATCAGGATAGTTTTTCAGAATCTGCAGTTCCCTGAAACCACAACAGAGTAGGATGCAGAACCGTATCTTCTTTTCCTTCCAGCACAGACATAGCCAGTACTTCTTCACTCCTCAGACATATCACTCAATCCTGACTGTACACTTTTGCCCTGTTATTTCTTCCACCAAAATGTACCCTTCTTCTCTTCTTGGGCCAGCTCCTACTCTGTCATTCCTCAGGGCTCATGTCATAAGCCACTTCCTTGGTAGACACTTCAGGAGCTGTGCCCATGAAAATCACCGGGATCGGAGAGAAACCCCACTCCTCAGCAACCTCAATATGGAGCATCCTTAAAAGGCGCAGCTTTATAGGATTCTGGTGAGTAGCAGATGCAAGTGGTGTCCCACTGCCATCCCCTCACATCTACTGGAACTGGAAAAAAGAAGGAAAATCAGGGACACGGGAAAACATATGGATACACATAAATGTGGAAACTCAAGAGATAGTTAAAAAAAAATGTCGACTGAATATTCTGGAGTCTTATGGAGCCTCATCGATCATCCATCCACCCATCATCCGCATCCATCCATCCATCCATCGATCCATCCATCGATCCATCCATCCATCCATCCATCCATCCATCCTCCATCCATCATCCATCCATCCATCCATCCATCCATCCATCCATCCATCCATCCATCCATCCATCCAAGCCGACACTGAGCCCCATTTATCAGGCCCTGTGTTCAGCATCGTGGGTACGCCGAGATGGAGGCAGAAGCCTAAAAGCGGATATTGGAGGTGGGAACAGCGGTAGATGTGACCGTGAGGCTGGAAGCGGGCGGGCACGTCGGGGGCCTTCCTGGGGCGAACCCCCAGGCCGAGGGAAGGTGGACCACCAGCCCTCACATCATAGAGACGCCGAGCCCTCCGGGCTTCCTAGAGAGGCCGGAAGTAGTTCCACGAGGCCGGGGGCGGGGCCGGGGCGGGGCCGGGGCGGGGGCGGGGGCGGAGCCTCCCGGCCGCTCACGGTCCGCAGCTGTGAGTGGGCCGGGGCCGGGGGCGGGGCTGGGGGCGGGGTCTCCCGGCCGCTCACGGGCCGCAGCCGCTGCAGTCTTCCGCGCTGTGAGTGGGCCGGGGCCGGGGCCGGGGCCGGGGTCGGGAGGGCGGCCGCGGCTCCGGGGGGACCCGGCCCGGCCCGGCCGGCGGAGCGCCCAGGGCGGCTGCGGGCGCCCCTGTCCCCAGCGCGCGGCGGCGGCGGCAGGTGGGACGAGGGCGGGCGGGGGCGACGCCCATCCCGGCGGCGGGGCGAGGCGGGGCGGGGCGGCCCGGCCGCGGTGGGTCCCGGGGACCGGCTCAGCCGCTGGCCGCAACGTCACGAGGCCCCAGACACCTGCCGCGCGGTTGCGGGGGAGCGGGTGGGCGGCGTGCGTGGCTTCTCTTATTTCTTGTTTTTTAAAACAGACCTCAAGCTCAGGAGTTTTCTCGAGTTTTGTTTTTTTTTTCGGTTTTTTTTTTAAGATTTTATTTATTCATGAGAGACGCACAGAGAGAGGCAGAGACACAGGCAGGGAGAAGCAGGCTCCATGCAGGAAGCCCGATGCAGGACTCGATCCCGGGTCCCAGGATCACGCCCTGGGCCGAAGGCAGACGCTAACCACTGAGCAGCCCAGGTCCTCGTCCCCCCGCCCCCCCCCCCCCCCCCCGGGTTTCCAACAGGCATCTGCATCTAGCTAGACTTGATCATTGGGTTTCATCTCACGGTTCCTGGAAGTATGACCTCCCCTTACCACTGACAAATGATTCCGGCTTCTCATTTAAAGTGGGAATGTGAGGTTCCCACTGAAAAAGAATGTATTTTTTGCAGAAAGTTAAACAGATTCAAACAAAATAGGATAGGTGAGTGATAGTAGCAAAGAGACCAGGTGTGTGTGGCAGAAATTGTGCAGGTGATAAGGAAACACTGCATTGTCCCAATCCCGGGGTGGGGGGCGGGAACCTGCAAGGCAAAGAGCCCAGGCTGGGGGGCAGTTGGATCCGCCTCCATCAGCCTCCTTCAGCTTGGGGCTCTGGGCCTCAGCTCAGGTCTGATCTCAGGGCGGTGAGATGGAGTCTGGAGTGGGCTCTGGCCCTCCCCGCCAAGCTCGGGGCTCTCTCTCTCTCTCTCCCTGAAATAAATCCATAAATAAATAAAGAGAGAGGGAGATAAATAATTAGCTAGCCAGACAGCCAGCCCAGGCTGGGGAGTGATGCGCACCTGTCTTCAAACCCAGAGTCTAGCTCAGCCACTTATAACCTATTATTTGTGAGCCAGTTCTGCAGGGAGGTGGGAGGAGTTTAAGATATCTTTTCCTTCCAGCTTCATTGAGATAATTGACATAACACTGTAGTTTTAAGGTGTTCAGTGTGATGATTTGTTATGCTGTGAAACAATAATCAGAATAAGATCTGTTAAAATCCCAGGCATCTCACATAATTAGTGTGTATGTGTGTGTGTCTGTGTGTTGAGAGCTCTAAAGATCTACTCTTGGCAACTTTCAAGTATGTAATACGATATTGTTGATTGTAGTAACAAATACTGCTGTATATAAGATCCCCAGAACTCATTGTCTTTTATTTTTATTTTGTTTTTAAATGTTTGGTAGAATTCTCCAGTGAAAGCACCTGGGTGTGGAGGGTTCTTTTCCAAGAGATTTTTTTTAAATTTTTTTTTAATTTTTATTTATTTATGATAGTCACACACACACACACACACACACACACACACACACACAGAGAGGCAGAGACATAGGCCGAGGGAGAAGCAGGCTCCATGCACCGGGAGCCCGACGTGGGATTCGATCCCGGGTCTCCAGGATCGCACCCTGGGCCAAAGGCAGGCGCCAAACCGCTGCGCCACCCAGGGATCCCCTCATTGTCTTTTATTACTGGAAGTGTGTAATTTGCTTTGACAATCATCTCATTTCTTCTAATCCCCGGCCCCCAGTAACCAGGATGCTATCCCCTGGAGTATATCGACTTTCCACCTAATGCTATGTCCTCAGCTAATCTTCTCCAATGTGTTTGACCTTTTAGGTTTGTATACCTCACATCCCTTTTACCTGTATCAGGATTACTCCCCTTATCATCTTTAATAACTTCATCTGTATTGCCCTGACTGCTTTATATTAAACACAAATAATTTTCAGAGCATGCATGGAATGTGAACAGCACCATTTCTAAACCCTCTAGCCTCAGTGTGTTTTCCTGATCTCAATACATTAAGTACACAGTTACCTTTTGCCTCTAGATAGTACTTGGGCAATAAGTTAAAACACACCACCACAGGGTTAAACCCACTTAGAGCTGTTTTTCTCTTCCTTGAAGCAAATAGGGTAAAACTTAATTTTTCTGAAAGCAATCTTCAATTCTCCCATCTTCTCTGGACTCCAGCGGCACCTAGATTTGTATATTGCATTATAATACCAGAGGGTTAGTAGCGCCATCATCTTGAACTCACGGGATGAAGGAACCGTGTGCATCATCTAAGGTTCTTATTACTGATCCTTGGCATTTAATTAGGTCTTTGTAAGTCTAAAGTACCCATAGTCATTTTTATGAGTTTTCTCATAACTTCCTGTGAGATGTCAACTTTATTACCCTCACTTTATCTTAGTATTATCAAGAGGTCAGACGGATTTAAATTTCATTTTTTCTTGTTTGTAATTAAGATTCCATTTTCTGGATCATGTACTTAAATTTAACCTATATCTACTAGAATGACGGCTCAGGTCAGATGTAACCCTTCATCCTCCACCCAGAGGAAAGCAATTACTAAGCTGGGTTTTGAAAGAGCCTTTAAGAGCCGGGGTTTTGAAAGAGCCTTAAAGTGATGATAAACGCTGGCCTGAGTGCCCAGCTCCAGAAGGCATCAGATGGCAACTAATTAATAAAACAGAAGCCATAAAGTGTGTAAAGATCATGCAGCTGGTTAAGAAAAACTGTATACTCTTCTCCCTTCTGTCTTAGTGTTCTTGGGGGTTCCTTGCAGTTTTCTGAGAAATGTGTTTACTGCATTTTCTTCTGTGTTTATTGATGTAGGAAGCCAGGAAGGGAGGCGGAGGCTCCGGGTGGTCATGATAATGGCTGGTAACCTGTGAAGGTTTTACCCACCTGGTGGATAGGCTTCTTTTCCTTACTGTTTCTCTTGCTAAATCATTACTTTTTCCAAACGTATTGCCACCTTTCTCGGCTGACCCTCCCGATCAGGTCAGTTATACAAGTTCTAGCTTCAGATCATTGTGGAATTAGTTGGAAGATAATGAGGAGTAGCATGAATAGGCCTGGCAGGTACTCTGAAGCGTTCATAATTTGAACTCGTACTTTTCCCAGCATGACTAATGTGCACGTGAGCCATCTCTGACCTGTGGTCCTGTGACTACACTGGAATGTGCGGTTTTAAAAACAAAGAATAAATAGAGATTAGGAAGACTTTCTGTTGAAATTTTCTTAATTGAACTCTGAGGCCTGGTCCATTTTCTGAATCCCTTAGAGTGGAATTCTTGTGGAGATACTAAGACTGTTTTAAACTTCGTTATCTGGCATCTTGTTCATCAAAATGGAACATCTGTTCACCAAATGGAACGTTTCTAAAATCCTTGTGTGCCTTTTCAGTTACTGACTGCACGCTCCTTAGACTTCACCTGGGTGCTGCCCACTAAGGTCTCACTTGCTCACGAGCTCCTGTCCTGTTTTCAGCTCAACACCCTGGCATTTCCTCCTCGCAGATAAGTCTATAGCCCAGCCCCATCACCCCTTACCCAGACTCTTGGCTGTTTAAAGGCTCTCCCTCCTCCAGGCAAAGCTTGACCCTTAACCAGGACCAAGGGAGCATACCTGTTCAGTAAATCAGCCATCTGCAGAATGGAGTTCCCCATCAGGAACTCCTTGGTGTCTCCAAGCTGACCCAAGGCCATCTTTCCCACCTGAATCACCAGCAATGTGTTGTGGCTTCTATTTGCATCCCAGCCATAGTGGACTTACCATATTAATTGCTCAGTACAGCCTTCTTGTTGCTGTTCCATTCATTAGTGATGTTCTTCAGCCTGTGGTAACCCTCTGCCTCATCTCAGCCCCCCTAAATCTTCCTGTCATCCCAGTTCAGCTATAGGCTTGTCCCTCAGTGAAGTCTTCTCTGATAGGCCCTATAGAATCCGTTTCTCTTGCCTGTCTCTTGCCTCTCTTCCACAGCACCTTGCTTACACCAACAGGTAACAGTAATCTTGTTTTCTCCTTTTTTGCTTGGTGGTTTAAGTATTTGCAGAAGGCTCTCTCTGTCATGAGTTCCAGAAAGCAGGAATTCTGTCTCATTTTGCTTTGTGTTGTTTTTATCCCATAACCCAGAATTTCTTAGGAGATAGGTTAAATGAAAATAGCAGTGTTGGTTGGCATGTAGACTCTTAGACACTGTAGGGCTCTGCATTATTTGTGCCCATCATAATTTTACTAAACTGGATGTATTTCACAGTGTTAAAAATTGACCAGAATTTCAACAAATATTTGTTGAGCATCTGCCACGTTCCAGGTTCTGGTACAGACACACCAGGGGAAAAGGCAGAATGTCTCATTTCTCATGGAACTTACTTACATTCTTTTGGAAAGAGAGAGAGAAAAAACGTAGATAATTTTAGGTCGTGAAATGCTCCATGAAGAAACAAAGCAGTATTGGGACACCTGGGTGGCTCAGTGGTAAAACATCTTCCTTCAGCTCAGGTCGTGATCTGGGGGTCCTGTGACTGAGTCCCACATCAGGCTCCCCACGGGAAGCCTGCTTCTCTCTCTGCCTCTGTCTCTGCCTCTCTCTGTGTGTCTCGTGAATGAATGAATGAATTAAATAAATAAATAAATAAAATATTTTTTTTTAAAAAAAGCAGTGTTTAAGGTAAGGGGATCTCTTTTAGGGCAATCAGAGAAGCATCTCTGAGCAAGTGACATTCAAACGGGCCTAAATATTGAGAAGGAGGCATCCAGGCGAAGATCTGATGGAACAGCATTTCTCACTAAGATGAAACAGAAGATGTGCATAGGCCTCAAGTCACAAATGGGGTTGGCATCTCTATGGAAGGAAAGCCCAGTGTTTGGACGGTAGCGTACCAGTGGCGGGAGAGCACAAGACAACGTGAGGGAGAGAGATTGACCACGTCATGGAGGTGAAGGGAAGAAGTCTGGGTTGAAGGATCAATGACTGACAGCCACTGTGTTTGGAAACAGGCTCTGTAGCCACCACACCAATGGACTTCTGCATGAGGGACTGGTTAGCTCTCTTGGCCACTGATATACTTAGTACACTTATCCAGAATAACGTGTCAAGCTTTTTGCAACTCTGTACTTCTGAGAGGTGTAGTCACAGTGTGTGGAAATGTAATAGAACCATCAGTCCCCTGACTCTAGAGCTTGAAGAAAAGGAAATATGAGAAATGGCATCATGGAGTGCCCATCACGTCAGCCGTTTTGCTGGGTCTTCATAAGCCCATGAGCTTATTAGTGCCCCTTTTTTGATGCAACAGTAGGCTCAGAGGGGTCAGTAACAGTGTTGCATACTTCTTTCTTACAGGTCCAGTGATCTTTTGACTGCCACATATGGAGGCCCAAAAATCTCCAAAGGAAACTGTCCTCATTACAGGAGGAGGTGGCTATTTTGGTTTCCGGTCAGTGCATGAATAAAACATGTCCTTGGAATTATTTTACTGGTCGTTGTTGGAAAAAAATAAACCTTTCAACTCTAACATAATACAGTATGGAAACTTCTACTTTTTTGAATAGTGTTAAACCAGAAGTGAACTTAGGTTGCCCAATGCTCAGATGCTGAAATTTAGAACTACAGATATATTCCACTTTAAGAAAAATTCTTTTGAGGGTATTAAATTAGATAACTGACATCACCAAAAACATTTAAAAATAGTAGTTATTCTTTTGCAGCTCTTATCATTCATAAACATTCCAAAGAATGGGTGGTGGTTTCTAAAATGGGGAAAAATGGAACACGTAGATGCCATCATCTTAAAAGATAAAGCCTCTCAGTAATTCAGGTAGATGTGTGGATCCTCAGTTTTGAATATTTGCATACTTACCTACATAAGTAAGAGTTGCTCCAGTGAACATGTCAAGTGAGGGACTCAGGATAAGCCCAGAAGACTTGGGTCAGCCCAACATCGATTGGTAAATTATTTTATGCATTTTTCCTCAATTTGATCTAATATAATTTTTCTCATTTCAGCCTGGGCTGTGCTCTGAACCAGAAAGGATTCCACGTGATTCTGTTTGATATCAGCAGCCCCACTCATTCCATTCCAGAAGGAATCGAGTTCATCCGTGGAGACATTCGCCACCTCTCTGATGTGGAGAAAGCCTTCCAGGATGCAGATGTCACGTGTGTGTTCCATATTGCCTCTTACGGCATGTCAGGGCGGGAGCAACTGAATCGAAGCCTGATAGAAGAAGTCAATGTCGGGGGCACAGACAACATCCTCCAGGTTTGCAGGAGGAGAGGGGTGCCAAGATTAGTTTACACTAGTACTTTCAATGTCATCTTTGGAGGTCAAGTAATCAGAAATGGAGATGAATCTCTGCCTTACCTACCTCTTCACCTCCATCCCGATCACTACTCTCGGACGAAATCTATTGCAGAGAAGAAGGTGCTGGAGGCCAGTGGTACCACCCTGGTGAGAAGTGATGGTGTCTTAAGAACCTGTGCTCTGAGACCAGCTGGCATATATGGGCCTGGAGAGCAAAGGCACCTTCCCAGGATAGTGAGCTACATTGAGAGGGGTCTGTTCAAGTTTGTGTATGGGGATCCTAGGAGCCTGGTGGAATTTGTCCACGTGGATAACTTGGTACAGGCTCACATTCTGGCCTCCGAGGCTCTGAAAGCTGACAAGGGTCACATTGCCTCTGGGCAACCCTACTTCATCTCAGATGGCAGACCTGTAAACAACTTTGAGTTCTTCCGGCCTTTGGTTGAGGGCCTGGGCTACACATTCCCGTCTGTCCGCTTGCCGTTGACCCTCATCTACTGCTTTGCTTTCCTAACAGAAATGGTTCACTTCATTTTAGGGCGACTATATAATTTCCAGCCCTTCCTCACCCGCACAGAAGTTTACAAAACTGGCGTCACCCATTACTTCAGCCTAGACAAGGCCAAGAAAGAGCTAGGTTATGAGGCTCAGCCATTTGACCTCCAGGACGTAATCGATTGGTTTAAAGCGCATGGTCATGGCAGAAGTTCTGGGAATCGTGACTCTAAATGTCTTGTTTGGGATGGGCTGATGGTCTTTCTCTTGGCCATGGCAGTTCTCACATGGCTGCCTCCTTCTGCAGTTCTGTCACTATGAGGGAACTAGAAATAAGGAGCTGATCACACTTGCTGTGATGGTTTTCAAGAAATACAGGTTTAAAATCACTATATAGGGGCACCTGGACGGCTCAGTTGGTGAAGCATCTGCCTTCGGCTCGGGTCATGATCCTGGAGTCCCGGGATCGAGTCCCGTATGGGGCTCCCAGCTCAGTAGGGAGTCTGCTGCTTCCTCTCCTCCCCACTTGTGCTCTCTCTCTCTCGCTATCTCTGGTGCTATCTCTGTCTCTCTCAAATAAGATCTTCAAAAAAATAAAATTTCTATCTAGATCTAAATATATCTATATATAGATTTCAAATAGAAATAGATACGTGGTAGCGAGTTTTGGCTCTTCAAATTGCTTCTTAAGAATAGATTCTTGGATTAAGTCTTCATTTCTTACCTTCTTGCACTAATCCTGAGGGGAGAAAAAAAGAAGCAAAGACAAGTTTGAAATGTAGTTTCTTGTATCCTTATCCTTTAGATAAGTACAGTAGAAGTCATATTGGTGCCACAGAGCCAGAATGAGGAAGATTGGAAATGTCTTGAATTTCTCTGAGCCAAAGATGTACTTATTTCTGTTCCCTATACTCTGCATCCACTTAAAATAGACTAAAATGTGCACTGATACGGGAATGGCAAAACACTAACAGGCTTGAGTATGTGTGAAAGACACCAAATTGGGTCAGATCCCTGCAGACCAAGCCTCTGAGGAGATGGTGGCTGTTGAGAGGCATTAACTAGTCATTCCTGTAGGGTTTAGGAATGAGTTTTTACCCTTTATAACATCAGGGCGTTGTACCCATGTGACCACATGGTAATGTTTGATTTTTAAGCAAACAGAACCTTGTCTTACCTCATAGGATTCTTTTGAGGATTAAATTCAACAAGGCACATAAAGTGCCCCTCAACACAAGCAAGCCGTTGTTTTTGTTAATGTCCTTGCTATACATTCCTTATAAGGGTTTTCTTCCTCAGGGTTCAGAGGGTGCTGTTGCCACCAACCTTCCAGGAATGTCTTTGTGGTAAGCCCTCAGAGTTTGTAACAAGCATGTTTGAATATACTCAGTGTGTGTAAGGTTCTGGTCTCTGAGCAGAGATGGAAGTTTAGGAAACAACTACAAATCTGATTAAGGAAGATGATCAAGCTAATGATGCCATATGGAATTTAAAAGTGAAACCTAACTCTCAACTAATAGAGTGGCTTTCTTCTGGGAAGACATTGGGTTCTCTGAAGGCAACTTCCAGTGAGGAATGTTTTGAATAATGGTGTTACTGTGTAGCCACCCTGGAGGACTGCTGTGGACAGCATCCAAATTGCACTGTTGCACAGAAACCAAAGGGAAAAGAAGAGAATCTTTATCTGTTCCATGATTTCGGCTTCAGAAAAGATAGTATTGGGACGCCTGGGTTGCTCAGCGGTTGAGCGCCTGCCTTCGGCCCAGGGCATGATCCTGGAGTCCTGGGATCAAGTCCCACATCAGGCTCCCTGCATGGAGCCTGCTTCTCCCTCTGCCTGTGTCTCTGCCTCTCTCTCTCTCTCTCTCTCTCTCTCTCTCTCTCTCTCTCTCTCTGTCTCAGGAATAAATAAATAAAATCTTTAAAAAAGGGGATCCCTGGGTGGCGCAGCGGTTTGGCGCCTGCCTTTGGCCCAGGGCGCGATCCTGGAGACCCGGGATCGAATCCCACGTCAGGCTCCCGGTGCATGGAGCCTGCTTCTCCCTCTGCCTGTGTCTCTGCCTCTCTCTCTCTCTGTGACTATCATAAATAAATAAAAATTAAAAAAATTAAAATCTTTAAAAAAAAACAGTATCAAAGCATAAGGCAGATAGATTACTGTGGAAGGTTACATTAGAGTCGTGTTGAGATTACTTGTAGGAAAAGGAAGCTAGATGAATACTCCCTGTCTGGTAAGTGCTACCTGGATGTTTTGGAAATAATGCTCAACCTGATATGAGAAGACCTGCAACCATGAATGAAATATTGTGTAGCCTTAATCTAGTAACTGAAGCCTCTTACTTTCCTCATTTCCTCATGGGAATGACTTGTATTTGCCTTTTCTACAAACCCACCCATCTCACAGCATTTGTTGTATCAAATAAGATGTCATTAAAGCACTTTTAATCTATAAATCGCAAAATAAATAGGTGATGGTAGCGATCACTTCTGATGAAATGTTTTTGGAGTCTTTTCTATCTCAAGAAGGTTTGTGGGGGGGGTGGTTAGAGGGTACAGGGCAGAGGAAGAGGGAGAGAGAGAATCCCAAACAGGCTCCATGCCCAGCGCAGAGCCCAATGTAAGGCTCGATCTCACGAACTTAAGATTGTGCCCTGATTTGAAATCAAGAGTTGGATGCTTAACTGACTGAGCCACCCACGCACCCCTATCTTAAGAAGCTTTTGCTTTAGTCTGGAGTTAACTTGTATGAGCACCTATGGCATATCCAATAGAACAGGTGCTACAGGTTCCTCCACCCTCTGCAACTTACAGCCTGCTAATGACATGGTATATCCATACAAGAAGGTCAGTGATAAAAAAAAAAAAAAAAAAAAAAAGGTCCGTGATAGAGTGGGTGAGTACAGTAAAGCATTCATGCACTGTCATTGAGAGGCATCGGACTCTTTCAAAACATGTTTTTAATGAAGTCCTTTAAAAGAATAAATACTCCTTAGTTTTCTTATACCAAGAACACTAAGTATAGCGAGGCATTTGGCTCTGCCACAGCATTTGACACCATTGCCCACTCTCTCCTTGAGACACAGTTCATTCACTCTTCATGAACTCACTTTTGGTCTTTCTCCTTGTATTAATTATCTCTTGTATTACCTCAAGACCTACTACAAATTACCCTAAGACGTATCATCTTAATGAATCACTCCAAGACATGTCATCTTAAAACAACAAACATTACCTCCTAGTTTTTATGGGTCAGGTATTTGGGTGCCACTTAACTGGGTTGGTTTTGCCTAGGATCCCTCATGAGGGTCATCTCATGATATCTGGCACTGCGGTCATCTGGAGGCCTGACTGAAGCTGAAGGATCCATCTCCAGGATGGTTCATCTACCTGACTGTTGGCTCAGTTCCTCACCATGTAGGCATCTCCATTGGACTGCTTGAATGTCTTCATGACATGGTAGCTGGTTTCCCCCAGACCAAGTGATCCAAAGAGCACGGTGGAAGATGCAATGTCTTTCAAGACTTATCCCCAAAGGTCAAATACTGTCACTCCACAACATATTGTTTACACAAGTCAGTCCTATTTGGTGTGGGAAGGAAGTACCCGAAGATGTGAGTACCAGAAGTGGAAGATATTGGGGGCCACCTTGGAGGCTGGGCTCTCGGTTTCATCCTTTGAGTCATAAAAGGTAGCCCATATTTACAGCTACATAGTTTTCTCAGCCAGAAGAATTTGGGAGCTCCAAGGGCCTCTTTACATTTTGTCATGTATCCCTTTCAGCCCAAGCTGACAGTGCTACTGCAAGCATAGTTATTTTGAACACTATGTGTTTCCCAGGAATCTTATTCCAGCTCCTCTATTAGGCAAAAGCCACAGCCACACATCTCTTTGAGATAGTCCTCTACCTTGGGCTTCTGCTGAAGGACAATACCCTTAAGATTCTTAAAAGCTTTATTATTTAGACAACTTCTTTAGGTCTCTCTGAAGTCTTAAGAGGCTTTATGGCCACAACCCCGGTCATGTACTGTCATTTCCACAATACCACATTGGCTACAACACTGGTTAGCCCTGTTCCATATGGGAGGAGACTACTCAGGACATAAAGACCAGGGGGAGGGAATCTCTGGAAGCCACGTTAGAACCGGCTACCACATTCCTATGTCTCATCAGTTTCCTTATCCTCGCCCTCCAGTCCTAAGTGATGGATTTCTTCCATGCTCAATATTAGACCCTCTTCTAATACCGTTGTTTCTTTGAACCCCTGATTTTGTCCAAGCCCCTGGCTTTCATTTCCATCTCTGTTCCAAACACATAAGAGTTTCAGCCCAAGCCATTCTGAAGGCCAGACCCATCTATCCAAGCCCCTTGGTATCTCCACCTTCTCAGTCAACATATCCATCATGGAATTCACAATTCCTCCAAATTCTTACAGGGTTTTTTTCTTTAGTAAAATGTCACCAATACCCATTGAATTTCTTATGCCAGAAATCCGGAATAATCTTTGATCCCTGCATCCCCTTGACACACTCAACCCACCCCCCCTCCCCCGAAGCTCATTGATTTCAACTTCTCCTCATGCCTCAAAGTTGTCCAATGAACAGGTGTCCCCTCTCTCTCCTAGATTCCAATGATATCCTCTTCTCTCTTCCACCTTCATCCTCTCCTGCCTTCCTTCAACCCCTCCTGCCTTCCTTTTTTTAAATAATAAATTTATTTTTTATTGGTGTTCAATTTACCAACATACAGAATAACACCCAGTGCTCATCCCGTCAAGTGCCCCCCTCAGTGCCCGTCACCCTCCTCCCCCTCCACCACCCCTAGTTTGTTTCCCAGAGTTAGGAGTCTTTATGCTCTGTCTCCCTTTCTGATATTTCCCACACATTTCTTCTCCCTTCCCTTATATTCCCTTTCACTATTATTTATATTCCCCAAATGAATGAGAACATATAATGTTTGTCCTTCTCCGATTGACTTCCTTCAATCCATTCTCCACGTGCCAGGTAAAGTGCTGCTATAAAGATGCAAATGCATGTCACTTCCCTGCTCAACACTGTCCTCAGGTGTAGGCTGAAAATCCTTACTGTGAGTTCAAGGTAGGCCTTGTCTGATTTGGCCCCTGTCTACTGCTTCAAGATCACGGCATACTCCTCTGCCCGAACTGCACCAACTTCTTGCTGGTTCCTGGCTTCCAAGCTTCTCACAACCCTCCCCACCTTGAGGACTAAGGTTTTTTTTTTTTTAAAGATTTTATTTATTTATTCATGAAAGACACAGTGAGAGAGGCGGAGAGAGAAGCAGGCTCCATGCAGGGAGCCCGATGTGGGACTTGATCCCAGGACTCCAGGATCACGCCCTGGGCCGAAGGCAGCGCTAAACTGCTGAGCCCCCCAGAGATTCCCGAGGACTAATGTTTATTTCACGTCTCAGCTTCAATTCTCTTCTTCCAGAAGCCTTCCACGATCCCATCAGTTTAGGTGAGATACTCTTGCTACAAATTCTCAGCACCTGCTTCTCTTTTTAAGCCTTTACAACTGGGTGAGTTTGCACAATTATTTGTCTAATGGCTGTAAGCTTCTGTATCCCTAATGCCTCACACAAAACAGGAGTTGAGCGTTTGTTAATGAACGTTATTTTTCTTTCTGAGGATGAACACTCCTTTCTGATGCATACATTAGTGTCTTTAATCTGTTGACTGAGAAAAATAGCCAACCTACTAGCATTGTGTATTAACTAAGTCAAGACTAGATGGGCTACAGTAAATAAGAAAGGTCATGCTGCGTGTGATGTGGTGGAGCTATGATATGCTGTAAGAAGTTCAGGGGAGGGTGAGGAATGTGGGCAGAGTGGAAAGTTATTTGAGTTCCCTCCACATCTTGGCTGAAAACTAACCACTTTATTTTATTTTATTTTTTTAAACTAACCACTTTAAAGAAGTCAAGTCTATTTTCTTGACTCAGGTCAGGAGATACCACAGTTAAGGAATTCCATTACTTCTTTTTTTAATTTATATTTTTTTTTATTTTTTAAAGATTCTATTTATTTATTTATTTATTAGAGACAAAGGGAGAGAGAGAGGCAGAGATACAGGCAGAGGGAGAAGCAGGCTCCATGCAGGGAGCTCGATTCCGGGTCTCCAGGATCACGCCCTGGGCTGAAGGTGGCACTAAACCACTGAGCCACCGGGGCTGCCCTACTTCTTCTTTTTTAAATGGAACTTCAGGAACGCCTGGGTGGCTCAGTGGTTGGGCGCCTGCCTTCAGCTCAGGTCGTGATCCTGGGATCCAGGATTGAGTCCTGCATCAGGCTCCCTGTGAGGAGCCTGCTTCACCCTCTGTCTATGTCTTTGCTTTTCTCTCAGTCTGTGTCTCTCATAAATAAATCTTTAAAAAAAATAAATGGAATTTCAGATTTTTTTTATTTTATTTATTTATTCATGAGAGACACGCAGAGAGAGGCAGAGACACAGGCAGAGGGAGAAGCAGGCTCCATGCAGGGAGCCCGACGTGGGACTCAATCCCGGGTCTCCAGGATCACACCCTGGGCTGAAGGCAGCGCTAAACCGCTGAGCCACCCAGGGTTGCCCAAATCCCATTACTTCTAGGGTCCCCAGCTGCCTTTCCCTTCCCTCAACCTTGGATTGAATCCCCAAACCTGCATAAAGCTATGAAACCATGTTTATATTTGTGCACATAGGGGTGCTTCTAGACACTAGGGCACACACCACCCAGCACTGCCACCTCGACCACCGCTTCCAAGGAATAGGTGGGCAATTATTGGGTAAGCGTGTTGTAGGATCATACCATGTCACAAAGAGCCTTACAGTGAAACCAAAGATAATGCAAAACTGCCTACATCTGCAAAAAAAAGGAAGAGGAGCCTTTTCAGTTCTGTGGAAAAACTTGATCTCCTTAGTGCTGTTCTCTCTTTTTTAAAGATTTTTTATTCATGAAAGACACAAAGAGAGAGGCAGATACACAGGCAGAGGGTGAGGGAGAAGCAAGCTCCCTGGAAGGAGGACTCGATTCCAGGACCCCGGGATCACGACCAGAGCCAAAGGCAGATGCTCAATCTCTGAGCCACCCAGGTGCCCCTCCTTAGTGCTGTTCTAAACATGGGTGTTAGAGGGTGTCATGTGACAAACAGCAGTTTCCTGGGGGCCAGATGACTCTGGCACCAAATTATCTAGGCTACAGTATTTCTCATGGCTACAGAGTAGGCCTTGGGGGGAACACTAGGTTTTGTTTTTCTAAATCACCTAACATGGCGATTATAAGGAAGACAGTATTGTTTCGCTGTAGATTGTTTTACTGAAATTGTTGGGGCACCTCCTATCTTGTATTCTTTTCCAAATTCTATCTCCTTATGGACAGGGTAGAGGAACTAGCCAGCATCATTCTATTTCCTGCTCCCACTCAGTTGTGCACCTGAGGTTGGTGGTCCCTATGTCAGCCGGTCTTGGCAGCAACACCCACAATTTTTGTCTTATTAAAATTGTC